TTTTACATTTCCTTAGGTAACATACCTGGTGCTCCATCATGGGTTGTAGAAAGACCATACTTGAGTAGAGACTTTATTTCAAGTGTTGATGACAAACAAAAGAAGTCTGTAAGTCTGCACTATGACCTTATTTACAACAATATTGTATGTGAGGGGGGACGGGGACGGGGAGGGGAGGGATGGTTGTAAGCCATTGAAAACTTCAAAGCTTCAGAATGCTGATGGTGTCCTAAAGGCAGAATTAGRCCGCACAACTTTTGCTATATATTTGATATTAATGTACTCGGTATTCTTCAGGGTGTAACCATAGGTACACTTCCAGTGCCGATGCAGGAATTGGCTGCAGTAGAGGACTTACTCTTTCTTCTAATGGTATATTTGTTTAGCCTATTACTTAGTGATGTTAATTATAGTGTAATTGATGCGTAATATGAGTGCAATGTAATACAGTGGCAAAGTTCAATATCACAGATTACAAAGTTCAGCTTGTGTTATATGTAATTTTTGACTCATGTGTTTTTCAGATAGCTAAATAATTGTAGTTTCATGTCTTTCGAAGTTATTAGATCCTTATCAGTAATTCATTACAATTTGTTACTTACAGTGTCACTTGTTTTATTTTTCCAGGGAGTTGAAGGGAAATACATATYAGTCAAACCTCTGAAAGATAAATTTAGTCCAAGAACATTTACTGTTGACAAAACCTTAGGTACGTACATATTCAACAAGTGTCTGCTGATAAAGAACTTTGTTRTGGCAGTGGTTTATTTTGTGATTTCCATATTACTGACTGTGATATCATAGTTTCTCTTCCCGTATAAAATAATATTAATATCCTATCCTAATATAAATATTTTATACTTTATTTTGTAGATGTGTCTATTAATGAGCTGGTTCTAAGAATTCTTCCTGTTTGCTCACATTATTCAACAGTATGCAGATTTATTGAAGGTAAATTTTATAACATAGAGATCTACTTTGCTTAGTTTTTTAGTTCACCTCTATATTATATAAAGGATTTCTTGCTT